GGAGTCCCTGGTCAACTTGGCTTTGGACTTTGGAGGCAGTCGCGGCTGGGTGTCTCCAGCCAAGCGCGGTGCTGCTTCATTGGGATGCCAAAACTGAAGCGCTGACTGAGTTGCTCACATTCTGTTATCCACTTTCTTTGACCATGGCACAAGCATTGAAAACCTAAGTATCCGTACGGGTCGTTGAGTGAGGTACGGATACGCAGTATGCGTGTAAATGGTCCCTGACATTGACGGTGCTGCACAACGTACGAGGCGGGCCCAAAGCCCTGGGTTTGGTCACCCGTCAACGCAGAGCCTAGCAGAGATCGAACCCACAGATGGAATGACTACGACCTGATTAGCCGTTGGTTCAATAAGTTGCTTCAAAGTCATCGTGCCACTTGGCATTCCACCTTATGAGGATGTGTGTCCGTAAGCTTTGCAAACTAATCACCTTTCACCATGCCATGTGGGTGCCTCAACCCAAGATGCACCATCAATCACCTTAGTCCGGAAACTAGGTCCATCAGCAGGTTGGGATGAACTGTGTGGTCTGTCTCTTAACCTTAAGGCACTCCAAGGTAAGTCAGTAAGCAATATGGTAAGGCAGGGCAAGGTGGACAACGCATGGCAGAGCATTTTTGCTGTGAGGCGGGCTGACACATCTCGGCGTGGCTCACCGAGGTCAACCAAGGTGTGCCCCGCGCAGCCCGGTCAGGTCGTCGCCGTCCCAAGTTCACCATGCTTACTAAGATTCTGAATTACATACCTTACCACTACCAGTGACACCCGGTCGCGCAAAGGTGGGGCTGCTGCCAGCACCCGGCACCGCGGGGCCAAACTTTTCTGTTGCCCACCACTTGCCTCAAACTCGCGATGTGACTCGACCGCCTGCATCTCAAAAATCTGCGGTAGACCCTCCCTCCGCGTTGCCGCAAATACCAAACGACACATAATGGTCACAGGCGGAACACGGTGACCATCATGCAGGACGACGGCTTCGAGGCTCTTTTGGAGCCCTTTTACAACGGAAAGAAGCTGACGGATCCCATCTCGACCAAGGAGGATAAATTTCAGCTCTTACCCGCCTTTCTCAAGGTGAAGGGTCTCGTCAAGCAGCACATTGACTCGTACAATTTCTTTGTCGAAAATGAGATCAAGGAAATTGTCCGCGCCAACCGCATTGTTCGAAGCGATGTGAATAGTTCATTCTGGCTCGAGTAAGCCACCGTTCCCTGCACCATTTTGCATGAGCTTGTCTAACGCCCTGCCAGATTCACTGATATCAGAGTTGAGCGGCCCAGTCGCGTCGACTTCAACGATATCAGAGCTCAGAATGAGGTTACACCAATGGAGTGTCGTTTGCGCGACATGACCTACGCTGCACCCATCATGGTCGACATCGCCTACATTCGCGACAAGTCCAAGATTGTTCGGAAGAATGTCCCCCTCGGACGCCTTCCCGTCATGTTGAAGAGTTCCATCTGCAGACTTGGTGGGGCCAACAACGCAGAGATGTCGCGCATGAATGAGTGTCCTCTTGATCCCGGTGGCTACTTCATCATCAATGGCACGGAGAAGGTCATCCTCATTCAGGAACAGCTGAGCAAGAACCGTGTCATTGTTGAAGCCGACGAGAAAAACAGCGTCATCACAGCATCAGTCACCAGTTCGACTCACGAACGCAAGTCCAAGACGTATGTGACGCTCAAGAAGGACCGGATTCTTCTCACTGCCAACATTTTGGTGGAAGGCATCCCCATTGTCATCATCCTGAAGGCGCTCGGCGGCCTATCAGACTACGAAATCATGCAACTAGTTGCCGGCGACAACGGGAAATATCAAGACGAGTTCCTCATTCAATTTGAGGAAGCAACCAAGGTTGGCGTCTATACGCAACAGCAAGCCTTGGAGTATATCGGCGCCAGAGTAAAGATGGGCAAAAGTAGGGTCCCCTTCGCTGCGCAAGTCCGAAGAAACCACGTCGAAGAAGCTCTCGACGCCTTGGCGAACCTCATCATCGCCCACGTCCCCATTGAGGGCCTGGACTTCTATCCCAAGGCTGTCTATGTGGCTTTCATGACGCGACGTGTCTTGATGGCGCAAGCCGACCCAAGTCTCGTTGACGACCGTGATTTCGTCGGAAACAAGCGACTCGAGTTAGCAGGACAACTTCTCTCCCTGCTTTTTGAAGATTTATTCAAGCAATTTTGTGGCAACGTCAAGAGCAGCATCGACAAGGTTCTTAAGAAGGACAACAGAGCTGTTCCTCTTGATGCCGTTAACATGATCAGCAACCACGCCAACATGATTGGTCAGGGTATCAATCGAGCTATCCAGACAGGAAACTGGACCGTCAAGCGTTTCAACATGAACCGAGCCGGTGTTACCCACGTCCTCAGTCGTCTAAGCTACATCAGCGCTCTCGGTATGATGACTCGAATCAGCTCGCAGTTTGAAAAGACCCGTAAAGTCTCCGGTCCTCGTGCTCTTCAACCCTCACAATGGGGTATGCTTTGCACCTCAGATACACCCGAAGGTGAAGCCTGTGGTTTGGTCAAGAACTTGGCTCTCATGACGCACATCACAACCAACGTAGAGGAAGCGCCAGTCAAGCGATGGGTCTTCACCCTGGATGCCGGTGTGGAACCTATTCGGAACTTCTCAGGCGGAGAAATGCACCGCGAGACTTCGTACGTCATTCACATAAACGGAACCCCATTCGCATTGACCAGATACCCGAAGCGATTTGCGGGTAAGTTCAGAACGATGAGAAGGCGCGGCTGGATTTCTCCCTTCGTCAGCATTCATATCAACAATCACTTCAACGCAGTCCACATTGCCACCGATGAAGGACGTATTTGCCGACCTTACATCATTGTCAAGAACGGAAAGCCCAAGCTCAAGGAGGAACACCTGAGACTTTTGCAACTGGGCAAGGCTACGTTCGACGATTTTTTAACTCATGGTATTGTCGAGTATCTTGACGTCAACGAAGAGAACGACACTCTCGTTGCTCTCTACGAGAAAGACGTTACCCCTCTTACTACACACATGGAAATCGAGCCTTTCACTGTTCTTGGCGCAGTCGCTGGTCTCATTCCCTTCCCTCACCACAACCAATCTCCTCGAAACACCTACCAATGCGCCATGGGTAAGCAAGCTATTGGCGCTATCGCATACAACCAATTTAACCGTATCGACACCCTGCTTTACACCCTTGTCTATCCGCAAAGACCAATGGTTATCTCAAAGACAATTCAGCTTGTCAACTACGATAAACTCCCCGCTGGTCAGAACGCAACAGTTATTGTCATGTCGTACTCGGGCTACGATATTGAGGACGCGTTAGTCTTGAATAAGGCATCATGTGATCGCGGTTTCGGACGCTGCCAAGTATTCCGCAAGTACACAGCCGAGCTGCAAAAGTACCCCAACGGCCGACGCGAACGCATTGGTGACCCGGTCAACGACGAAAACGGCAGGACGACCAAGCACGAGGCCTTGGACGACGATGGTCTCGCCATTGTGGGCTACAAGGTCAATTCTGGCGAGGTCATGATCAAGAAGGAAACACCTCTCGATACTGGATCCACAGGTATCGGCATGGATCGTGGACCAAGCGAATTCAGAGATTCCTCCATCTCATACAGAATTGCGGACCCCGCATACATCGACAAGGTGATGGTGTCCCACACGGAGAGAGAAACGATGGTGGTCAAGGTTCAGACACGACAGACAAGAAGACCGGAGCTTGGTGACAAGTTCTCGTCCCGTCACGGACAAAAGGGTGTTGTTGGAATCATCGTCGACCAAGAGGATTTACCGTTCTCTGACACTGGCCTGGTTCCCGATATCATCATGAACCCTCACGGTTTCCCGTCCCGTATGACTGTTGGCAAGCTGCTCGAATGCTTGACTGGCAAGGCTTCGGTTCTGGACGGACGAAAAGACTACGGATTTGGCGACGCTTTCCGCTCTCACCCCCTGGAACAGATGAGCGCTGCCCTGGTCGATCACGGTTTCTCCTGGGAAGGCAAAGACTACTTCACTTCGGGTATCACTGGAGAGCCTCTGGAAGCTTACATCTTCAACGGACCCATCTACTACCAGCGCCTGAAGCACATGGTGCAAGATAAGATGCACTCTCGTTCTCGTGGTCCCAGAGCCATCCTTACCCGCCAACCCACAGAAGGTCGTTCCAGAGATGGTGGTCTCCGTCTGGGTGAGATGGAGCGCGATTGTTTGATTGCGTACGGTGCATCCCAGCTACTGCTTGAGCGTCTCATGATTAGTTCCGACGGAACGCAGCTTGATATTTGCCAGCAGTGCGGTTTGTTCGGTTACAAGGGTTACTGCCACACGTGCAAGAGCACCAGGGAGGTTACACAGATGACGATGCCCTACGCCGCCAAACTTCTGGTGCAGGAGCTCATCAGTATGAACGTCGGCGTGAGGCTGCAGCTCGCAGACGAGTTCCCTCACCCGAGATGATGAGATGGCGCGACGTGTATAGTACTTGAAGTGTATCACGCATAGCCCGGGATATTGGAGTTTTGACAAGGACGGCGTAAGGTCTAAAAAGCATAGATAGCACACGAGAAACGTAGATATCAATCGAGGGTTCACAAGCAATTGAATGGTCAATTCCCTGGGGCACCTTCATACTTGAGATACCTTCCCTTGCCAAGTACCATGTATCCTCATTGGCAGTTAGACGTCGTCTCCCGTCTGGACCGATGTCAAAGTGGGGCACCATCCGGGCGTGCGGGTCCCTCTCCGCACCCCCGGCCATCCTAAGCTTGAGGTACCTGAACCATGGGATTTCTGAAGCTAGAGCTTCACCCCTGCGAATTCTGATCCATCGCTTCCCTCCGCAGCGTACTTGTTCCTGACATCATCTGCTGTATCCGTCGCCTTTGCGTGCTTTTCCTCTTCCCTACTACGTCCAACGGCACAAAGCTCTCTCTTCCTCGCGCGATATTCTTTTAATTTATGACTGCCGCTCTCCAGTATCCATGGCCACCTTGCGCCTAGCTACATCGCCCGGCGTGCGGGCCGCTACGACGTCGCCGCTGACTTCGCAACTGTGGTCCAGTGCCGCCGCCGTAAATGCGTCCACCCCAAGCATAACGAGCACCGCGAGCACGATTCCCGCCGCGACAGTAGCTGCCGCCGCCATGGCCGCTGCGACTACTGCCACAACTACGGCAAAGACGATAATTCCCCCCCCGCCATCCGCCCTGGCGCGTGCGAGGACGAAGGCCGTCGAGCCCCAGAACCGCTACTTCAACCCTTCCAACGCAACCCTATCCACCACCGACGGCGGCCCCGGCAAGAAGCCAGGCGATGAGAACAATGCCAAGTTGGGCAAAAGTAGGTCTTTCTCAACCTACGTGAACGAGTCAGAGGCGTGTTGCGCAACTAGAGGGCTAACAGCATTCCAATTAAAACAGCCCTTCGCATCCTCCAAGACCACCTACCTCGGGTCCTCCAATCTCCGCTCCCGCAAGAGATCCTCGCCCCAAACATCTCGCTCCACCTCTTCCCGACAACACACCCGCACCTCCCGACCGTCTCCGGCCGCGTCGCCTACACCGCTGCCCTCTGGACCTCGCCCATCGCCTGGAACCGCCTGCCGCTGGTCGGGAACGTCCGCCTATCCATCATCTCAGAGCGGGTGACGAAGCAGCCCCTCCATTTTGCGCCGTTACACCCTGGTGCTGTCCCGGAGCAGCTCGTGGTCAGGTGGTGCGCATCTGGCAAGAAGAATGGCGGAGGGATCGGTGGCGGGTCGGTATCTACGTCCTCTAGCGCTGGGACGTCGGAAGGAGGGGGCGTGAAGGTGGAAGACGGCGGGGACAAAGCGTTCACGGGGCTCTTCGTGTTCCAGTTTGATGCTGAGGGCAAAATATTGAGCCATACGATCGAAACGGTGCAAGAGGGTGGCGACTGGGAGAAGGGTGTCGGTGCCAAGGTCGTCGGGCTGACGGATTGGCTGCTTGGCGGCATGCGGAGGCAGGGAGACAATCCCAGCCCTGCGTTTGAGGGTTTCGACAAGGGCAAGGAGTGAGTCTGGTCTTTCATCACTACATGGAGGTCGCTTCACAGAATGCCGTGGTGTTGTAGATATTCGGGCGGAATGGCGCAACGGAAACGGCGTTTCGGATGTTTGTGGGAACATACCAATTTCATCATTAGGCCGGTCTTTAGGCGGGCGGCATAGCAACCCTCTCCTCTATTCATATGTACAACAGCTGTATAATCAATCTCAAAGATAACCCTCACCTTTCAACTCCAAAAACTTGCGTACCACGCAGAAAGAGCATTCACTTCTGTGGGCATCAATGGACCCCTCCTAAGGGCACACCGTCACGGCCGATTTCTTGGCCCCCTTCTCCTCGTCTTCTTCGGCATGACACGCCATAACATCAGCCAGATCGCCCTCCCTCACCATCAAAATCTGCGTATCCGCCAGACTAGAGCTCGTCACCGTCGTCCCCAGAATCCACCCGTTCCAAATCTTCTGCATGATATTGTCCGGGCTCAACATAAGACACCCCTTCATCCCCTCCTCGTCCCTCGGCGTGACAGCAACCATCAACCGCTTCGCGCCCGCGAACCGATCGACAACGTGCCATAGGCACCCAAAGATCTGGTCCGACTCCTGCTCGGGGTAATGCAGCTCCTCAAACGCGCAGGCGACGTGCCGCACGCGCCTCGTGTCCTCCTTGCGCAGGAAATACACCATGGGGCTGTTGAAGCCGTACTGGTCGTAGGCCTCGAGCTCGCCGACGAGATAGAGGGCGTCGAGGGCGAAGTTGAACCAGACGCGCGGGGGCCGGGCGATGGGGGTGTCGGACAGGAGGGCCGAGATGCGCCAGCCGAAGGCGAGTTCGTAGTGTTTTAGGCCGAGGGCGCGGGATTCGCGGCTGATGAGGAGGATGAGGGGGCATGTTGGGTTGAAGATCCGTGTGTCTTGTTCTTCTTTGGTCTCTGTCTCTGGTGCTTCTCTTTCCATTGTTCCTCCTGTCGTACACTCTCCTGTTGTTCCTCCTCCTGTCGTTCCCTCCCCTGTCGTCACCCCTCCCGGTGTTTCTTCTCTTATTAGGCTACAATCTAACATTGTATTCGTGGGAGAATATGCGGAGGAGGAGGGGAAACAGGGTGCGGCGAGAGAACGTTTCGCAAACGCCTCACGCCGGGCAGGCAGCCTAGCATCGCGCTCGAAGCAGCAGGCCGTCACGACGCGGGGGGCGATGAGGTAAGACCATATCTTGAGGCGGATCTCCGGCGGCAGGTCCGGAAAGCGGTGAAAGTGCGAAAGGGCCGTGAGAGACTCCGCGCGTGGGGCTTCAAGGCCGTCGTCGAAGAGGGAGAAGTCGAGCCAGAATTTGGAGTCCGAGGTGCGTGCTTTTAGGTGGGCTTCTTCGTCCTGTAAGGCCGGAGGCGGGCTGGATATTGTGTCTGTTGTGGGAAATTGATTGATGTCCATTTTGGTGGTGAGGGTGAGAATTAAGATGAAAGAAGATTCGGGTTTATGTGTGTATGCGACGCCTTGATGAATGCAAGCTTGATGGATGTGAGATAACAAGTTTGATGGGATGATTTGGCCCACTCTAGTGAGACTTGTGAGTGAAGGGGATGAGTCCTTCGGCCAATCTGCCTGATGAAAGTGAGCGTCCAGTTCCGAATACGAAGAAGCGCCCTTCTCTCATAAAGACGGTGAGAGACGATGCTAGAAGTGTGATGAGGTGTAGGTGAGGTTGCGGAGAGGATCCGGCCGCCGGAGCTTCGCGACCGCACCACAAAACACACAGCCCACTTTCCTAATCGGGCCAACTTGGCCACCTCGCCTCGGCGTTGCGCAGCGAATCAGATTGACATTCGCCGCACCCAGACTTGACGAAGCCAGCAGGTTTTTCGTTCTCGATGAAAGGAATGGTTGGATTTTCCTTGTTTCTCTTCGCCACTGTCCGACGTCAAGTGTTGTCAATTCATTGATGCGAGATGTAGATGGGAGACCCTAAAACAGAAGTGCTTAAGTGCTTTGATGCTTTGGCAAACATTGTTTTATATATTTCATAAACCTTCTCAATCTTACCTTCATTTCAATCTTGCTACAAACATATTGGAGTAATTAATCATGACGCTGCAAGTCTAATTTATCGAAGAACCACTCCCCGTAATCTGTAGAAAATGATCAAAAACAATCAATAAACAGTTTCATAGTTCAGCTCATGCAAATCATTCTCAGCCTACTCCAAAGTCGACTCCCCGCCCGACAAATGCTCCCTTCTGAGATTCTTGGCATTGCCTCCCTTGCGGAAATAGCTAAGCAAATACACGCCCTCGTAGATTTCGTTCTGTCTTTCATCCTTGCCCTCCTCGACTTTACTAATGTAGACATTGCCAAGAAGGGAAGCCGATATCGTGCACTGGAAGACATTGTATTAGCTTTATAATGAAAGAAAGCTTTCTCGAACGTTGGGGCATGACCTACGAGGACCATAAAAGGACAGATGGCGACAAACGCCCAGACGACGCCCATCTTGGCGTCGTGGGTAATCTGTTGCTGCGTGGCCGCCGGCAGACGGCTGAGGGCCTCAAAGTCTCTCAGGGGCGAGTCCTCACCGATGCCAGAAGCGTTGTTGAAGACGGTCGTCATGATGGTCAGGCCCAACGTTCCGCCAAAGGGGTAGGCGACTGCCATGAGAGAAATGACGGCTGCGATCTTCTTGGGGAAGTAGCCGACACCGTGAAGGGGGACTAGGCCGAGGATTAGTCTCACTTCTCATGATTAGAGGGATTATGAAGAGAGGAACACTTACCGGGCATAATACGAAGACCGGTTCCGACACCAGTGAGAGCCATCATCCCGTATACGGTTGGGTTGTGTTCTGTCCAAAGTGCCCACGCCAACAAGCCGATGCCGAGCATTTCGAGGATCGATCCGAGAAAGATGGGCGGAAACGTCTTGCGCGGCCAGCCGTTGCACATGAAAGCCGAGGCGTAGACACCAACTGCAAGATTCACCCGTCAGCAACTTGTTTGGTCATACACCATTTGGGAAAACTTACCTGCCAAGCCTGGAGTAAAGTACAGCAGCTGTACGCCAGACTGGTCCGCCGACCAAAGCTTCACCATTGTGAAGTAGATGTTGCAAAAGTACAGTACGGAGTACATGGCCATGCCCGTCGCGAAAGAGGTGTAGAACAAGAGGCCGATATCCCTGTTACGAACCAACTCCCAGGGAATCATGGCCTTTTGCCACGGGAAGCGGCGGGCCAGTGCCTTGCCTGGGGACATGTGGTACTCCCAGATGATGAACATGATGCTGATCACAACGCCCAGGATGAGCGTCACAAGAACGGCGGGGCTAGTCCACGAGTATGTGGCACCGGCCCACGTCAAGCCGAGGACCAGGAGACCGAAGCCAAAGAGGAAGAGGAGCTGGCCTCCGATATCGATTGTCTGCAGACGCTTTTTGAAGGTTGTTCGTCGGCCCGTCTCGGTCGTCTCGTCGAGCTGGGGAATGGGTTGCGGCCCGAGGAGTTCGGAACGTAAGACGAAGTAGAGGATGAACATGCTAACGAAGGCGATGGGCAGGTTGATGCCGAAGCACCATCGCCAAGAAGAACCGCTCGTAATGTATCCTGGCCGTCTGTTAGTCTTCATACCTCAATGACAATACAGTGTCTGGAGTGGCTCACCTCCCAGGACAGGGCCCAGACCCCATCCCAACACACCTCCCAAGAAGGAGAAGATTGCCCAGTTCTTGGCGTTCTCGCGCAGGGTCACCTTGTCGGCGATGACGATGCGGACGAGGACATTGAGGCCAGCACACGCCAGGCCTTGGAAGCCGCGGCCGAGCAGGAGGACGGGGAAGGCATCTGTCGGGGCGCCGGTACACAGCGCGCTGCCAATGAGCATCAGCACCAAACAGGTCTGTATCGAGACGTGTCGTCCAAAGATGTCGGCGATCTGGCCCCAGAATGGGATGAATGCGGCCGATGTGAGGTTGAAGGCTGCGATGATCCAGTTGAGTTGGCGAGTCTCGTCTGCGCGATTGTTAAACATGCAAGCGGTGGTGAAGATGGGTATATGGAGTCGGGGGCTTACGGAAGTCGGCTGCAATCCAGGGCAAGGCACTGGCGACCTTTTGGATCTTGTCAGCTGTGTTACATGTTTCGCGGCTCTAACGAGGTCAGACTTACGATTGTCACGTCCAAGGCCTGGACTACAAAGGGGAGTACTAGGCCAGCAAAGATCTTGACTCTGTACTTGAGCTGGGCCTTGCGCTCAGACTTGCATGTTGGGCAGGGCCCAGAGGCCGGATCGAATTGGTGACCGCAAGTCGGTGTACTCGAAGTTCTTTCTAAGGGGGTTTGGTTGTTCTTGTCCTGGTAGGTTATGTTCTCGCTTGTTGATCCTTCTGTTGCTGTTGACTCTGTGGCTGGTGTCGTTTGCGTTTTGCCCGAACCCTTCATGGCCCGGTAGGCCTTCTTCCCCAAGTAGATGAAAACCATGTCGAAGTTGCCTCTCAGGGGTAAGACGGGTTGTTGATGTCTCTTTCGGTGGAGGAGTCGTTGTCTAATGCTGCTTGTCTGAGTATGTACTCTTGTAGTTGTTATGATGGTGTCTGGTAGATTCGAAGTCGATGAGTCAGGGGTAGGAATAAAATGCTTGGTTGAATATTGACTCTACATAAACTTGATGGGGGGGCGGAGGTGTGTTATAACTTCTCGCCAGCGACAGTCTACTTGACACCCAGATACATCATGGGTAGTTCACTCTGAGACAGGGGTCAATACAGAATAACCAGACCGGAATGGGCTTCCGTGGAGGCTGGGTCAGACGAACCCTCAATCCGTTTAGACGAGTGCGAATGCAGACAGCGATGGAGGCAGCCCGCGGATCTTCTCAAAACGCTCGCCGAGATGTTCTCTCTTCCGCAGCAAAAGTAGTACAGAGATAGACGAAACTTGGGCTTCATGACCCACACATCACCTGCAGGGAACGAAAGCAGATAGACGCCAAATGCATAGCCCATAGAAGACGACGACGACGATGACCAGGTATCTAAGCACCTATGGTAGTCGATGATTGGCGCCTTTGCGATCATACTGATGGAATGGGGTGTGGCTCATCGTTCCCGTTGTACGCGCATGAGACTAAGGATTAAGGGACCGTCAAGAACCTTGGAAGACCAAGGTACCTTAAGGTAGACCATTCGCGGTTGCCGGGCGTCGTTGGAAGATGGCAGACGGCGGCAGGCCGGGAGTAGAGGACAAGCTCTTGCCAAGGCGGGCCAAGGCAGCCCTACCTATACCTTATCGATGCGACCGGGCCAATCGATAAGGTGTTTCCAGCATGCACGTATCCACAAGAGGGAAAGTCAAGAATTAGGCGAGTGCGAGGGTTGTGGAGATGGTTCCGATCCTTTGGATCTTTCTGGATCACCTTTACGAATTTCTACTTCTTCCCACTCATCCAAGCCCCACGACACACACACTCAGCTCGTGGATTCAACCAAATCGCGACTAGTCGCATTTATGATGCATGGGAGGGAAGAAAAAACAATGAGACACCTGCAGGATGTCATCCTCAGCCATTCCCGCTCGTTAGGCACGTAGTACGGATTGACCATAACCAACTTATCCGCACGGTCGGATACCTAACCATCGTGCCGCTCGAATCGAATTCCCAAAAGGGATAGAAACACCCTAAACGGATTGCGCCTGTCAGCACCAAAGGCCTTATGCGCCTCGCATCGTAGTCATTCGGAAGTCGGCACGAGAATGCCACGACGGAGTCCTCTAAACTTTACTAAGTGTCGAATGGATATCCTCTTTGAGACCTTCGTTGGATGCATCAAAAACATTCACCACGAGTCTGCTTCTGAAAGCCACATTGGATGGCATCAAATAATTATTACTTGGCGACCGGATGGCGCCGTATTGGCAAATGCTTGTTGCGCTGAGTGTCAGCCCGTCATACGGAGTATCCTTGACGCCGATCCGCATTCCGTACTTGTTTCCCTCAGATTGGACGAACTGACAGATACGGTGCAACACGGACCCATGCCGGCTGACACTTTGAGGCAACGGCCAACCTCGACCTGATTATCGGGGTACCGTAGGTAGTGGAGCAACTTCAACCTCGTGCCTAATTTCCGGCTGATTGAGCGACTCCCCAAACTATCAGCCAAGTGGACCCCGTAATCAGTCTCCTCGAAAGTTTCCATCCATGTCAACTTCTTCTTTCGTTCCAAGTAGTGTAGCAAAACCTTCGTCCTATTTCTCGCGAGTCGCCGGCGGGGGCGGGCGGCGGCAGAGACGGCACCGGGCACGAAGCACGAGGCTCGAGGCACGGGGCAGCAGGCGGGCACGAATCAGAAAGTCAATGCCATGCCACTGCCACGCGCAGTTCGTCTGGAGTCGGTGTGGTCAGCCTGGTCAGTCTGATTACTTTTGCTTCGCCATAAGCTTAACCCCCTCGAGAACTAAGACGAGGCCCACTGAACACGCACACGAAGCTTTTTTACATTTGTTCACTTCCCAGAATGCCGGGACGCCGTGTGTCTGATGCGCCTTACGATATGCCTTTTCTGCCTTCCTTTGGGGTTCAATAACGGACAATTAGAGATCAAACTGGATCTATTTGCTAATACCTTAAAGCAAACTCCACAGACCAGAGCCCATTAGGAAGATTGTTGTTACGTACGCGTGACGGTGGGATGAATGACATGATTGTTGTACGTCTTCTCAGTTTCCATCTAGTGGCCTCCTGGCTTGGGTCATTTGGGTCGCCAAATATCACAGTCTCTTCACTCTTGCTTCATGCTGCGGGAACTCGACTCTTTCAACTTATTATGCACATTGTGGTATTATTATTTACATCGCAGTATGATTCATCTGCTTTAACAGCCCTACGTGAGCCTCCTCTCCACCCCAAAGTCGCCTAGATCGACAAAACCAAGCGAGCCCACTTCCATTGCGACCGCCCCTTTCGTGCGCATATGAACGACGACGGCAATGGATTAAAAGTAACAGACTTAGGCCAACCACCCTCTGGATTCATGCCAGGGTGTACCAATTGGGAAGGGGGTCCTTCTTGTCCCAGAACCTGATTGTGACATCGCAGTTCTTGTAGACCGCGAAGCACTCGTTGGCACCACCAAAGGACGTGGGAAGAAGGACCCAGTACGCCCTGTCGTAGTTGCCAAGGTTGAAGTTGTACGTCAGGTCGACAAATTCAGAGTTGCTGGCTCACTAGTTAGCAAAGCAAACACCACCAATCACCTCCACCTGAGATGATGGAGAGAGAGACTCACCCCGGGACGGAGTTCACCATGGACTGGAACTTTGCGTTCATGACACCACCGTGGAAGCCGTCCACGTAGTATGTCGAGCCGACGCTGGTAGGTAGCTTGTGGCCCATGTGGTGCTTGGCCTTGCCGCAGTTCACGCTGGTGATGATGTCGCACTGGACCGCCGCATTGCACATGTCAGCCAGTCCGAGGACGAGAACCAGCGCAGAGGCGACCTTGGAAGGTGCGAGAAGCGACAGGGAAACCATTTTTGAGATTTGTGAGAGAAGGTAGTTGTTGACTAAAGAGTGTAAGTCAAAAGAATATGTGATTGAAACAGAGGTGATGATGTGACACTGGGGGTTGTCTTGGCGAGATCCGGACCTGTGGTATATATTTCAATATTTTCGGCCTCCGGTTCGAAAATAACGATACAGCGATTGGGCAACGGCTTCGAGGCACCATATCTCGGGAAATGTCATTATCTCACATAATCTCCATGACTTAGTCTAGTCTTTGTTCGATATTGGTGCACTTTACGTGCTGATATTATTTCTCGTTGAAACTCAACTAGTCTTTCGACAGTCTGACTCGAGCAAACCCGAGCAACGGTCAGCAACATTGAGCAGAATCAAAGCCATATGGTGCAAGAAGAAGGGCAGATCGGAATACACGTGCCAGAACCCTGGTGAAGTTTGATGGTTTTCTAGTCTAGAAGCTCAAGCTAGCATGATAAGTTAATATAGGTGCGAGTCAGTGTTTGGACCAACATCGTAATTATACGAACTTGTCAGAGCTTCTGTCTGAGCTTCTAGAAACTCTAAACTTGCTTGCGGGAAATAGACCGCTGGTTCATCCATTCAAGTTGGTATGTGCTCGCGCGATCCTCACTTTTCTCATTTCAACACGGTCAGGTGCGCAGCGTGCTAGCAGCGAAAATCCAAACTCAATTCCGAGTCAGAGCAACCCATGTGAGGGCATTCGTTAATCTTTGTTATCTGGACTCCAGTACAGACTCATGTTTCGACGGCAGGCAAGTTCCGAGAGCGAAAGTGCGGGCGAAGTGGGATGGATAGGGAGGTTGAGGAGGTTGAGGGGGTGAGGAGGGTCCACGATGATGGAGAGGGGAATTGAAGCTTCGTGAAAAAAGATATAATAAACGACAGAGCTTCATGCTTAACGACAAGCTTTTCTGCCAAGCATCGCTCACTCCGGTTCGCTCTCTCCGCATTCTTCTTTCCAAGTCTCCTCACACAGACCAAGCTCAATCCTTCCAAGCCACACCTTCTTTTTCACCTAATCAGAAAATCTGTTTAAGCTTCTAAACATGCTTCGTTTACTCTCTGTGGCAATGGCCCTCGGCCAGGTCCAAGCTGGTGTGGTCTCCCGCCTGGAGTCGTCCTCGTCCCTGGAGGGCATGTCATCCCTGCTCGAGAGGGATGCGGCCGACCTGCCGACCTACAAGCCCGAAGAGGCGTTCGACTACAACAAGTGGACGCCCGACTCGGCACTCTACGAGGGACTCCCCATGATGGACAAGCAGGTCGAGATCGACGGCAAGCAGTTGACCTACCAGGACTTCAACATCTCTGCCCTCACCACGGATCAGTTCAAGGCGCACTACATGAGCCTCCCCGAGTACTTTGACTCCAAGGGCAACTTCATCCCCACGGATGAGGAAGTCAAGGCTTACCAGTGCGTGACCCCCCTTCTACTGCTCATCATAGGGCATCATACGATGGTTGGAATTGTTTCCCACTAACACTTGCAACCATAGAGCATCCATGGTTGCTCTCGCCAGCAACCCCGACTCGGAAGTCCACGTACCCGCCAGCCATGTCAGCAAGAGAGCCTTCCCCGATATGTGCTTCTACGACGACAGGCTGCGATGCTCCAGCAGCTGCACCAACTACGTTCACCGCGGTGTGAGACAGTCGTTCAACAACAACGTCTACGGATACTACCACTACGTCTCGGACCCCCAGTGTGGTGTTGGCTCTATCAGCAAGACTGTCTCCGTCACTCACACCTCCGCCGTCACCCTTGGAGGCTCCATTGGTATTCCCGGAGTAAGTTCTTCCCCTCCCCTCCGAAAGAGAAGCCTTGTACCCACAAGGGGTTTCTGCCATTATATCGAAAGCTTGTGGAATTAACCCAGGGATTCTAGTTCGGCGGTAAGAACACTTGGACCAAGGCCGTCTCTACCTTCCTGAGCACTTTTGGCCTCAGCATCAGCAAATCTCCCGACAGGTCAGTTGCACCCACAAATCTCCCCTAGATTCTGAACCTGTTACTAACACACTTCCAACAGTGTCACCACCGGTATCAGCTACTCTGGCACCTGCGGCGCCTTCAACGTCTGCTTCCTCTGGGAGAGACCTCACTTCAGCGTCGACAAGGGCGTCATCGTCGTAAGTAAAATTCCCTTTGGTATCTATCGCGAGAGAGAGAGAGAGAGAGCTGTTTCTGACAAAAGAACCAAAAAAACAGACCCAGTACATCGATGCCAACTCCAAGAGAGCCTGCCAGGCCCCCACCGTCACCCCTTACGAGGTCCACGCCGTCCACACCGACAAGGACGCCGGCGGTGCCAGCGCCCACGGACTGTGCTACTCCATGGCCTACCACGGATGCGGTGGCCGTCCTACCGCTTCCAACCAGATGATTCGCTGCCCTAACAACTACTAAATTTTGGGTAATACCAAGTCGATACAGCTGGGGTGGTGGCGGTGGTGTGATAGCTGCTCTGTCCTCGGGAGTCTGCGCTGACCGTGAGCGAGATACTTTTGAGTCTCCGGTAGCCTGTTATGCGCTCCCTTAATATGAGATTCAGGCAGAGCGTGGGTTACGAATTGAGCCTCATGACGGACTTGGGGTTTTGTATATGCTTATGGTACATATGGGAGAGACACCGTAGTATCGGGAATATGCGGTAAAAATGGAGGCTGGTTTTCAGTTCAGTATTTAGGATTCCAACACTTAGATATAGTTGACATAATAATCTACCTCGTGTATGATTTCCAATTTGACAGAGGCGCCTGATTGATGACTGCTGAATAGACTTGGATATTTGCTATGAGTTGAGAGACTGTATCACGTAGACGGCATTTGTGAGTAAAATCGAAATTTGCGAGCCACAAATACATCGAGAAACGTGACACCGCCTGATAATAGAGGGCATTCGAAGGAGACTAACCTCATTGCTTGTCTCTCATTCATCGGCGCTGTTCCGGGTGCAAGCTGGGGAATGGAAATTACATAGCAAATGAGGTTGTGCTTATGAGAAGCAAGAGCGGTACAAATATAGGGAGGATCGGCAATCAAAATGAGAAATCGATCTTATTCCTTGAGTGAGAGACTTACTCGTTGCGTCGTTGCCGAAGTCCCGAACCGTCATGTCATGTAAGTTGAAGTGGGGCCGGTTCTGTTCCGGAGCCGAAAGGCCGGCAACTCGGTGGCGTGAAACGCATATATAGAGAGACCGCCGAAAGTCGCCAAGCTTGTGGCCAAACGAGCAATCGAAGCTTGGCCCTGCAATTGAGGCGACAACAGAACCGCGTTGTCTATCTGCGTTGTTTCATATTGCAGAATTAGAGACGTCGGCATCATATTCCAAATACATACCAAAGATCCCAGTCATTCGGCTTCACAGTAGGTACGAAAGTGGATGTGGATGAGAGCTGTCATCAGACATCAGGCAACTTGGCGCAGAGCTGAATGCCAGATGCAGATGGCGGGGAAAAAGAAGCACTGGATGCTGTGTCACCAGCACCCGACCTCATGGCAGCTCCCCCCACAGGCGAAGGGTTCCGCAGCCCCGGAATTTTCTCGATAAGGTCCTGTCTTCATCATGGAAGGGCAGGTTGACCGGACCAACCAGACGAGAGGCAAATGATGTTCCTTTGCGTGTCAGCTGGCGGCGGTGGCAGGTTCCCCAGGGCACTTCGGGCGCAAGCTGCAGGTGACCCGGACAGGCGGCAAGTGGGCGACAAAATCGCTTGCCGCTCTATCGGTACCCTCCCTAGCCCGTTTCCTATTATTTCTGCTTCTTCTATCCCTCTTCCTACTCATCCTTTGAAGAATATTCTCTAATGAATATACAAAAGTCAAGACTAATAGCAGAAATAATAAAAAGAATAAAAAGAACGAGAACAAGAACAAGAACATTAGGCATAATAAGCAGGTAAGTAGGCGTTATAATCTTGTTGACTTCCTATTTTGTCACCCACTGTGGAGCGATCACCAAGGTACCTTGGTACTCACCTCACAGTGGGGCGGCTGCTTGCGGTCCTGCGGTCCTGCCAGATGGGTGCTGGTCCAATTTGGGAAACCCAAGCACCCCCGCCAGCGTCCCACGTCTTTCAACGTCCTTTGATCCGAACAGCAGACAGGCGAGGGGAGGAGATTTGATTTACCATCGGCAATCCAGAGGTCAACCACAAAGTGGACTGGTTTGGTTCTATTCTTTGGCTGGGTTGGGTCGGCCGGCGGCGTTCGGGTGGTTCGGTCCAGGCCGTTGATTTGTTAGCCACTTGCGTTTCCCCGACCGACGCCAGGCTGCTCTATCTTCTTCGTCCGATGCATCTTCGACTTTTGACGAGTTGTGTCTAACTAATTGATAGGTGTCCTCGGGAAGGTGGAAGAGTTTCGTGAAGGAGAGGGGTGCTGGAAGCTGCGCACTGGACAAACATGAGCCTGGCAACTGCGTCAATCACTGATGCCGTTAAACAGGATGATGATTTAAATGGAGTCTGCCGGCCTCAACTCGGAGGTCATATCTAGTAGACAGACCAGCGACTAGCCGTGCTTCAGTGACAAGCAGCATCGTCATTGCTAGTGTCACCTGAGCGACTATTCTCCAACATGACCGTGAGGGGTTGTTCCTCATTCCCGGAGCAGATATAGCATGAGCCAAAGTCGAGCATCATCATTGAACTTGCCCAACTCAACCCGGACTCTTGAAGAAGCGCCGAAATCTATTCTCGACATTACGAACGACCACTGGAAGACCAGATTTGCTTCTTGTTGCTTCCCGACTCTCAAGCAGCGGGCCACTACCCAAAAGGACTGGCAACTCGGCGACGGAAGAAAACAAGACGAAAAGAAACCCCCCCGCACGCCAAACAAACCAACCGGACCCCAACCGCTGCAAAGCGACCCCCAAGGTCCCGAGCCTGACAGACTTTCCGCTGGTCCTGATCGCCGCTATAGTTGCTTGGCTCGCAACTGGGCACATGTCAGTTAGTACACAGTAACTGGACTCAACCCGCATCCACGATCCAGCAAGGTTACAGGTTTCAGACGCAGCAAGGTACGAATACAGGCTCCATCCAGTCTTTCTACCTCTGTGGCCATTCCTGCATCTTATTATCGTCGCCTAAGGGAAGAAAGAGGAGACGAAGCAAGTACCTTGGTACGGAGTATTCGTACATTTTCCTCGCTGGACCCTGGCGCTTTCTCCAATTAATAACTCTAGGTCATCCCGCGGGGGGAACTGAAGTGGACGATTTGTTACCCACAATTCCCGGCTTCCCCTCTTTTCTCTCACTCTCTTCGGCTCCAGTTCTTCTCTTCGACCTCCACTCGTGGAATGCGACTGAGGCTATCTCTCGTGCTTCTCAACCTTGAACCGGCGCAGCGTCGATGATCAACCTGAATACCGGCATTTATACAGCTGCTCGGGTTTGTTGAAGAAGTCCACTCCATAGCGGCTGGGTTATCAGTCTTCGACAACCCACTCATCCATCCACCCATCCAACTTCTTCATCTACCCTAGCCTCCGTGTCTCCCCGGCGTCTTTCACGAGCAAAACCCGCGCCAGCACAACCTTCGCACCGAATCAGTCAGCCGCCAAGCGCATTGGAGGTGTGTCGCAACTCACAACCCACACACACTCCCAACCCTTGTGGGCTGGCCTGGTCTTCCTGTACGGGGTACATACATACACCAAGGTCGCATTAAGCGCATGACAAACCGGTGCTTGATTCGTCCGTCCAACCAGAGCCGTCCATTGCCACGTTGTTGCGGTATTCCCCTTCGCCCGAAAGGCTCACTCACAATCACCAACGCCACGTCC